ACATCGTCCGCTGAATACTCCCATTCGTTATCAGCATCTGCTCTTATGGGAGACTGCCCACTCTGAATGAACTATTTGGATGCCCCCAGGTTGAGCTGCTCCAATGACATTAAGGTCGTGTTTCAACCATGGATGCCAGGCTTGAAATGGCGGTATTCGACATGGGGGACGAATATAGTGTACTGAGCAGCAGTTAAAAAATGCTGATTATTTGTCCGAATGTTCGCCGGCCACAACCCGAGGCGGGGATTATCAGCTTTCGAGGGACTTCTCGTGCGTCCTGGAAGCAACCTAAGTCACCCTTGAACCAGCACATCCAGATCACGCTCGTATGGACGGTTATTGCAGTACAGTACGTTCCGAGCGTGTATGAGTAGTTGATCCTGGTGTCGGGATGGACAGTACATTGCATGTAATACACGTTGAAATGCAGTAAATTTTTGGATTGACCACTGATGTACTGTGTCTAGGTCACCCTGAAGCAGATGCTGGGCAGGCATTCACTTCGTTATCCTGCTCCAACTCTTGATGTCGTCGGCAAACATTTAGGAATGTTTGAAGCGATTGCCTGTGCCAAGATCATTAATATAACGCCTAAAAATAACTCGTGGGACCTAGAATTGAGCCTTGTGGCGCCCACCAAACTAGACTTGTATGGCGTTTTCCCAGTGGGGCTACAAACAGCTCCCAACTGTCCACGACCACCAATTCGCTGTTGAAGGAGGATGTTGGGCGAGTTCCTATTTTTCGTATATCAAGGTCACTAATCCCGAGCAACAGTTCTGGAGCTCGGAATCTAGGAGTCCAGATGGACCCCTTAGACAGATCGAAACCTCTCGGAAAATCCGGATGGATTCACATGCAACGCCTTTTCCAGCGTCTGCTGACTCGGGTCCAATTAGTCCGTGTGATTAATAAATTCGTCGTGCATGACCGTTTTGTCCCCGACCCCCCCGGAAACCGTGCTGTTCAGGCGTGATTGTGATTACAGTTTTCCAGGATAGCACACCAGACATCGGCAACTATGGATACCATGACTTGGACAGTGATTAGGATGAAGAGATACAAGGTTGGTAGTTGGGGAGGTTCAGTTCTGCCCACCGCACCTTTGTGAATCGGAGTTCATAGTCCAATGCGTCCACATAGCAGCTCTGGTTCTGGTCTAACAAGCGCTGGAAAAACTGAGCCAAAGGTTCTGCTAATTGTCTTGATGCTGCTGTCAGTGCCTTTGAACGAATGGACTCCCGGGGAGATGTGGTTGCGCAGAGACGTAAGCTACTGCAATACAGCTTCAGCAGTAAAGGATGTGGATGAGTCCCGTCGACGGGACGGTAAAAGTTGTAAAATTACTTGATGGCAAGATGCTCTGAAACTTGGGGAAATATTGCATTCGAAGCACATTTGCTGCTTCTGTAGCTGTTCTTGTTGGTGCATCAGCCATGGTGCACTAAATCCCTTTGGCAATTGGTCACCCTGTGCCATCTAAACACGAAGAGGCTGCGTGACAAAAGGCAAAATGAGACGCTGTTAGAAGCTCCATAGCTCAACAGGCCGGATGGTGCTGCTTATTGAGGCATAGGGTGCCGCTGCCAAGTCTTACTGCTGGACTGTTTTAGGGGCTATTGATGGGGATGAGTTGGGCGAGTCTGCGTTGGTCGTGGGTCGATATTTCGCCAATTTCTAAGCCCGTTGGATCCGTCAAGCTTTTTTGGTAGGTCACGTGCTCAGTATTATCTGGTATAAGACAGCCCGTTTGTTTATACTGTGCCCAAATCCAACGTGACCGATTATCGTGATGTGTGCATTCGTGTATCAGATACACTGATAAAGGCTGCCTTAAGGTTTTCTATCGGTGAAAGCCAAAACAAAGCAGCTTTTAACTGCATATTTAGTACATTACATGTGTGGTTATATTTGAGGATAAGTGCATCTCAGTGACAACCAGTAACCTCGACAATTTTAACACGTGGACAGTTAAGTGAAACCACACCTCAGCACTTAGTTGTAATAATTGACGATTGTAGACTAGCCGTTCTTCCAAATATGCTCGACAAACTTGATTGATGGATCGACCAACATGCCTGAAGCACAGAGGGATTTGTTTGGTGTACGGCTGAAATTGCATCCCGTATGGGCTAACCTAACCAATATATGGAAAACACTTGCTGGTAGCCTACAAGCCATAATATTATTTTTTTAATGTTTGTTTCAACCAGCACAAACAGATGTAAGTATTCGCAGCAATGCGCAGCCGAACTTCGACTTCAGTAGGAGCCAATTCCCGCCCGTTTTGCAGACCCCTCGAACAACTGCAACATCAGTCGTGGAGTTGAATGAATCCGAGAAGGAAAACAGGATGTTCCAATCAGTGTCCGAAACATGTGCTTCACATATGTACCAAACCGCAGCAAGCAGTCCAATGCGACCGGTAAAAACACCCAGAGTGAGTCAACTCATGAACTCGTGGGCCTCAAGAGATGGTTTATCGAGATGTGATTAAAAATTCGTTCTCACTGATTTCAGCACTGCCAATTAAGATGTCCAGTTGCACCCATTAGGCCCATTTTAAACCCAGAGACATCCTCGGTAAATGACCACAAATCTGATTGCACAGGTTATACTAGCCGTCCTATCTAGTGCAGACAAAATGGATGACCAGTGCGAGCATGCATGGTTGCTATCCACAGATTAGCTCGATACTCCAGATAGCTCTAATTCTAGCCACTTTTTCAACGCGGCCGCCGCAAGGTCCATTGGATGGGGCTGACTTATTAATTGCCTGCTAAGGTTCTGTTTGTTTCACTTTGGGAATGCGCTTTCTTTTATTACAATAAGTAATCAAAAGATCCCCTAGCGTCAATGAAAATATGCAGCTATTAAGAAAAATTTTAGGCGATATTGGACCACCGTACTGAACGATCGTATTTTTCTTGTATGGAACGTTAAGTTCGAGAAAGACAAAGCTTGCTTTTGAACCAGAAAAGCATAGTATTTCTGGTAAGCACACATAGCACCAAAAAATCGAGCGTGCTAACTTGGTAAACGATTGCCTTTTATAACGTAGTATGTTCTGACTGGGGCGCATGCCATTTTTGTAGCTAGCAAATAAAGATAAGGGAGGCTGATCATAAACGGTCTAAGCATTGTAGCAAAAAGCAATTAAAATCCGACAACCATATACAAGTAGAGCCCCTTAAACGAATTGCCAGAGCCTGTTAAATTGCGTTGCTGATTAATACTGCATATGTCAATGGAAACATATTGGTTACTACAAACTTCCATCATGAAATTCTTCATTACACACGGCTTAGATACGCTAAGGTATCCCGGAAACTAGAACATTTCCCGCAAATTTGCAAGAAACAAAATATTGCGAAGAAAGTACAACATTTTGCAAAGAAAGCGCAAAATTTGCAAAGCAGGTGCAAATTTTTGCAAAGAAATAGCAAAATTGTGCATAACGCTGTGCGATTCACCAGTCGCTCTGAGCCAATCCTCTGACCTCAAGTGTGTTCTCTTTGGCCGGGTGCTAGGGTTTGATGCGTAAGTCAAGTGAAGTGAGCGCGCTGCCCATTGACAAGGCGAGACTTGTGAATAAACCTTGAGTGCATAGGCATGGGCGGTGCCAGCAGCTACTATGCACCCCCACCCCCCACCCCACGTCCGAAACACTGGATCACAATTGGTCTGCGAGCAATGCGCGGCCGGAACATAAGCGTACGACTGAATGGATGTCTTTTATTCCAGCGGGGTTAACGTGCCTTCTTGTGTTCGACAGAATATCTCGTCAGACATCTGTGACCGAGTTGTGGATGCTTTCGTCAACGGTGACGACTGGCAGCTCGTGGCAACCGTGAACAATGGGAAATATCAAATTGCCTAATGCTGAATTCGTCGCTCTCTCGATCAGAAGCCGGATACTACCCAGGCGCGCGGTCGTAAGCGCATTCTGTCGGAGGAAGCGATTGATGACATCCTGGAGTGGATCGCGAAGGACGCAACTCGAACACTACATGAAATTCGGGTCCGAATACGTGCCAATATGGGACACGAAGAAAGTTTAAAGTCTCGGCGAAATATGTATGCACGTATGTATGGTTCTACATTCGTACCGTGGTTGCAGCAAAAAGTAGGACGTCTGGAAAATGAATTGCCGGAATACTGAGAGCTATCGAAAGGCATCAAAAAATCCACCAGGGATTGATGCACCAAAAATAATTGATTCGCAACTTATTGCGCGTACAGTAAGCCACCGATAAGTGAACGGGTGTTACGCCCACCTTATTGTGATGTCGGATCAGAGTGCACTCTATAAGCTGCTAGAAATAGCCAGTACTGCATTCAGGAGAACACTGCGGCGCCAAGTACAAATAGTGCGCGTGGTCGCGTCGCACAACCGGTTTCGCTGCCACGTAGTAGTACAACTGCGCGAGAGCTTGAGAAATGGATTCATTCCTAAATACGGTTTGGGCTGCGTATTGAACGAAATGTTTAATTCCACGGGTACTTCCTCAAACATTTGAAAGAACGCAAGATAAAACCACCGAGGATGAACGTACCCAAAAAAGAACTAATTGTGCATATTCCTTTCAAAGGCGACAGTGCGGCTGATGCCCTGTCCAAACGCCTGAGAGACGCTGTTGAAAAGACCTACTTCACGGCTCGCCTACGTATAGTATTTTACAACAAGCCTTTATTCGCAAAACTTTTGAAAGACAGGCTGCCTCCGGTGACTCGATCAATGCTTGTTTATCTTTACTCGTGCTCCTGTGGGGCACGATACGTGGGTCGTACCACGAGGCGCCTATCTCATAGGATTCGCGAACACCTCCCAAAGTGGTTTTACAAAGGCGAAGCTAGGTCCAGCGAAAGTTCCATCTTAGCTCACCTACTAGAGTGCAGTCATGCAGGGACGGAAAATGATTTTAGAGTCATTTATGCTGTTCCTGAACGTTTCACGCGCGGATTCCGGATGCATCTTCTGTCTATCGCGGAAGCTAGCTACATCCGCCACCTCAAGCCAGAATTGTGCGTACAAAAGAGTTTGTACGTCCTTTGCTTATACCGTGGCCTATAACTTCGGCTATGATTTCCCCTGTACATACTTGCCACTCCCAATGACCCCGTGATTCATTAATTTGTACCCGTGGAATTAAACATTCTGTTCAATACGCAGCCCAAACCGGCACATTTAGCACTTTTCCTCATCATGTAATGTTTGAGTATGATGAGAATTGCCGAAAAGAATTCTTTACTCAGCTTCTACCTCCCATGTTTCATTCTAATAAATGGGAATTTTTGGATTGCTGAAGGCCAGCATTCCCCGTGATTCAGTCAAGCATTGATTGGAATCAGGTATACCCAAAATGAGATGAATAGAAATTAGAGAAACTGGAAACTTCTATCTGCAACACACCACAGCAGTATGAGGATTACAATTGCTGCAGGCCACTTTCACGGATCAGCTGCTTATTACACTAGTTCTGTTGCCACCATTCCCTTTCCTCGCAACAATAATCCTACAAGCAATTGCAATTAGTCAATTCAACTCGAAAACTCAAGTAAGAAACCAATATCAATTATTGGGGATTACTAACAACAGATTTTATATAAAGACCAAAGTTCACAAAGGACCATTGGTTACTACGAATTTATGATTTCACCTTGAATTATTCGTAACTCAATGGTCGAATTTGGTGAGCAGATGCCCTTTTGAGCGGCCAAAGGGAACTGCCAATCGGTATCTTTCGACCTGCAGTAATTTGGAGAATGCTAACCGTTTAATCACAGTAGTTCATTGCGAATGAATGAGGTACACGAAAGTTATGCCGGTTAGTAAGCAATACTTTACAAGTCCCGTTGGGTGGTCTGATGGGGTTGGCATAATTTAATAAAACAGTTGGTGTTTAAATGTTAAAAATAGGACTTATGCCATATAGTTTCGTTGCACCAACGAGGGACAAGACGCACCTCTAAGGTATTTCTATGGAGTAGGATGGGGAGAGAGTGTTAAGTCACAACATCTAAATGGTGAGTGTTTCATCCAACCGTCCTCTAGAAATGGCTACTGTCGGTGCGGAAACGACCGCTTCAGTGAGAGTGTTCTACGGATGGCTTACGCGCCTAGAAAAGAACTCCCTGCGACATACCAGATGGCTGTACTGTTCTAACAGCTTCAAGGAGCAACCTCTCAGGTTTGTCTTACTGCTGAGATGCAGAAAAGAGACATACGAGTACGTTGGATCGCTCAGAAGTAAGTTTATTATTAGTAGGTCACCTTGGGATCGACGACACTATCCGCTGAATTCTCCCAACCGTTTCAGCCTTTGCTCTATGGCTGATTGTGCATACCCTCGGTCGCACATTCATACCGACCGCACGTACAATCTATTTTGCGTAACGCGGCGCATGACTTTTGATTTGCGTTGAGATAGTGTGGGCAATCCACAATTTCTCTCGTTCAGAATCTATTCTCCTAGATGTTCTTGTTCGCGTTAAAAGGTTTATGGTTAGTTTGAGGTCTAGAGGCTGCAGAATTAACGCCTCAGCCACCAGGCCTCCCACTTCAACCAGCGTACCTTGCTGAGATCAGCAAGCGGCTTATAATTCGGTACCGATTCTCTAAGCTTCATATTATTTGTTCTCATTACCTGGAGTATCTAACCGGCTGTATTATTATTATGACTACATTTAACGATTTACGTAAAGACGAGAACTACCATGGTGTAGTATGAGCGGCAAGGCAATTGCCAGCATCATAGATACGATCATTTGCTTCCAATGTAAGGCAAGTCCAAGGTAGGATTGCCTGCTGACTTGCCGAACAACTGCTGAGTGTTTCAAGATTGACCAGTTCTAGCCAATGGTTGGGAGGTAGTATTCCAGAAAGTTGTGGATTTCTGCCTAGCTGGCGTTCTCCCTATAAAAAGCCACATATGCCCGTTTAACAACACTGTAACGCGGCGGATGTGACTCACCAGTAAGTAAAGTCACTGCCTCTTGCTTCACTCTGGTGGAACATTATAATCCAGCAGCATCTTGCTGAAATCAGAGGGGGGATTGGGCCTCTGTTTAACAATCTACTAAACAAAGGGTGTACGAACTGAGTGATAAGCCACTGGTTCCCAATTGGCTTGGAGCCCTGAATTCACCCCTCTACCTTACGGGTAGGCTCTATAGCCAAAACTTGTTGTGGGGTCCCATAAGTCAAGTCCCTACTTCGGCTTGGGCAAGCTGGTAGGATCACGCAGTTCAACCAAAAACCGTATACTATTCTACGCTGTGCTCGTTCGCTACCGTTTCCGCTTCTTACGCCCATGGGACTTCATCATACATCAAGTGTTTGTTTTTTAACAATCTCTGTTATCCGTCACCCGATCTCTGTGTTCTTGGACCCGTCTGCCACTTCGGTTGCACCGTGAACCATGGAGTCCTTTGATCTTG